CCGACGCGACCCCTAATTCCAACCGGTGCCACCCTTTCATCTGACAAAAGCCTACTATTACACGTGGCACCTTATTAAAACCAACTGTTACCTCATTTAAGACCATTAAGGCGCGACCGTTAGCGTTAACATTAAAGTTTTCGACCGTTACGTCTGTTCATATTCCTCCTGTCATGACCGCCCATAATTCGCCCAAATTTTACCAAGTGTTTCCACCTCGGACTGTAATCTTCACTTCGGAACAAACAACTCACTTCGGTTGCCTCGGTCACGTTGGGACACCGAAGACGACGAATACTCAGCCGCTAACTTCTTACCGATTCGGAGCCTCTAGATGTTTGGCAATATCGATGATCATCACTCCGTATGCCCACCGATATTGGGGGCCTCTCTGTTATCATTCGACTCGGTAAATCGTAATTAAAGGCCCAAAACGGCACCATAAGCGAATTTGATTCAAATATTACCATAGCCTAAAGTCATCCCGGTTCGCGCAATAGACCTATACGACTCAAGAAGACCGAAATGACTCATCCTCCGCCGAAATCATCCCAAACCGAGGTCAACATAAACCGAGGTCGTCACCTCCTAAAGAAGGTGACGAGACGCCTACACAACCCCTATCACGATCTACGAGATTTGTCATCATTCATGTGGGACCCACTGCTCCAACCGCCCACCAAAAGTTACTTTATGCTGAAAATAATACACGGATCCCAATATGTGTATCAAAAAAGGCCACTATAAATAGTTAGCCACTGATTTTTGTAAGGGAGCCGGATTCGGAACCCAACAATTTAACAATAAAACGCGAAGCAGCCCATAAAGGCTTTTCACCTCGGTTCACCTCGGACCGGGGCCATTGTGGAGTTTCTCTTGCATGATTTACATTCAAACTACTTGAAATTATCTCATAAACTCCACCTTAAATCATTGTTAAGAATCATACGACAACAGTTCCTTTGCTTGCGCAATAGCCCCATTGTTATCACAATAAATCGTTATTGGATCAACAACAGAGGGTACTACACCCAACCCTTGGATGAAGTTCCTTATCCAAACAGCT